TGAATGCTGTGTGCCCCTGGAGGTTGTTGGGGCAAGGAGATTGCCCACAGGCAGCTGCGCAGTGTCGGCGGCTGTAGTGGTGGCAGTGGTGGGGTGGGTGTGTTGAGCTCTGACCAGTGGTCAGTGACCACCCACAGAAGCCGCTAGCAGCATTGGCAGTAGTCATCAGTGATTGGGGTCCACCTGCAGATGCCACCAGCAGTGTTGGTGGGGGTGGGGGTGGTGAGTGGCAACTGCCCACAGGTGCCACTGTCAGCATCAGCAATGCTTTTTGCAGGGGGGGGGAACCGCCAAGCTCAGGGGGTGCACATGCACCCATGTGAACTGTGGCGGGCCAGTAGATGGTGCTCCTGCAATAAGCCACCCACCTCACTGCGCCCAACCGCCTTCCATGCTCTGAGTGCCTTGCTGGGGGCACCTCATGTCTGGCCAACCCCCTTCCTGGAGCACACCTGCTAGCCTGGGGGTAACGCCCCCACCACCTAGGGTCTGGAGTTATCTTGGCTCTGTTTTCCCTGGGAAACACAGGCCTCGTAGCCCTTGAGGGTACTTGATCCACTTCAAGAACTTGGGATGCTTCCCTCAGTCTGAAGCACAAATAGTGGTCTCCGTGAGTCAGCTGAACCAAGGGGACCCCAAGACATAATCTAGCCCCTCTCCCAATAAGTCTGCCATGCTAGGTACAAAGGAGAACTTAGTTGGCTACAAGGAGTAGGTTTGGAATAGGGTACAGGGTAAAGCAATATCAGAGAAATCCCATAAAGCAGAGTGGCTGGGTAGCCTTTGATCACACATCTGAGTTACTGCAAGCTATATATCTAGTTAGATCTCAGGTAGTTTACTCATAAGTATCATCCAGAGGCAGGTGGAGATTCCTCCTGGATGCAGGCAGTTCATTGATCATGAGTTTCAAGAGAGAGAGAGAGCAAGTCTCATATGGTCCAGCTTCTCTCTCTGAGTTTTTTTATCATGGCTACTGCCCCTCTTCCTGAGCAGTCCTTAACTTATATAGTCCTTATGACCTCATTTACCTGGTCCAATGGAGGCCAGTACCTATTGGCAGCCAGCCAGCCAACCAATTTGAAGTGCATCACTGGTTGCCAGGTCAACTGACAGGGTCCCTAGTCCCCTTCCATTCAGGTTGGCATTGCTTAGAACAACAGGGAACCTAAGCCCCTCACCCAGGTATGTGATGCTAGTCATTTAGGCAGAGGGAGCAGGTTTCCCCACTCCCTCAGGAATGTATACAATTCAGATTACCTAAAGAGATGGGATGTCTACCCTCTGGAGGGACCATGTTAACCAAATTGTCACAGAGCAGAGTTTTTTGGGGAGAGACAGAGGTGGCATTCTGCCACACACACCCTCTATGCATCGACAATGTACCCCAGACTGGCTGAAGTGGGCAGCATGTGCTGCTCACCTCCAGATCCAGGCAGAGCAATGCCTCATGAGGCAGGTACTAAGGGTGCTGGATCCAGCATATGTAAGAGCAGGGGTCCACAGGCCCAACCCAGTCTGTGGGAACAGCCCTGTGCCATCCATCCAACCTGTAAATCAGTTCCAGGTCACTCACCTGGTCCATGGGGCCAGATGAGTTTGACATCCCTGAGTTACACGGCTACATATATGCCAATCGGGCATATAAAGATGAAATAGGATCTAGCCCTAATTGTTTGAAATATCATTCCTATTGATGGTTTTATTCAAAGAAACATTTTTATTATTATTATTAAAGGGGACAAGTTTTTAGTTTTCAAAATAGGTGTTTTTAGAAATAGCTATCAGCATGAAACCTAGTGTGTATTAATTCCCCAGATTCAAAAGGAGCACTGGAGAAAATACTACTAAATATATAGTGCAATGGTTAAAGCACTGTGTTAAAAACAATGGAGGCCCTGGTTCAAATCTCTAGGTGCAAAAGGTCTACAAGCCAAAATATCTAGCTTCCTTGGTAAGTGTCCTACTCCCTAAACTAAAGGAGGCATCCACTGCTATTCTTGCCCCCCACCTCCAAAAGGATTTATGTTTTAGTGCAGCATATCCATCCAGGAAATACAACTTCTTTTTGTTTCAGTTCCTAAGATCTGCAGGCTTCATTTTACCTTGGTTTCACAGTACTGTAATTGGCCCTAAAAATAACATCAATAATAGTAATAAAAATAGTAATGATATTTTTTGAGCTGACACCGTTATAATTACAACATTTGGAATAGCACATTTGGAAATAAAGAAACTTAATATCAGAAAATGACATCCTAGCAGATCAAATTAGAAAAATTACATTCACTTTTTCTTTTTTCTTTTTAAATCCATTCTTAAATCCATTCTTTTTAAATCCATTCTTATTTTGTGAAAGAAGGGTTATTATATTTTATAAAAACTATTCATGGAAAATTTTTCAATAACAATCATTTCTTAGGACTCCAAAACCTATCAAGCAATACTGTTTGTCACCGATTGCTTGTGACTAGAACTGTAAGTTAGGAAGGTTAAAAAAAGAAGTCAAGATAATTTACTATAAAACACTAAATGTCTGTGACTGAAAATAAATCAAATGAATGAATCAATACAACCATCAGCCATTCAGAAGCAGTATTTAATACATGGAAAATGAAACTTCCTTCTGTTGTTGTGTTTTAATAGATATTCTCAGTTCACCTTAGTGAAGAAAAACTTCCTGGCTTGAATTTTAATTAAATATAAATTCAGAACAATGAAACAGGTACTATTTGATTTTTTTACTGAGTGTGTTTGAATCTGAATGTCAGGTTTTGCTGTGTATGAAGCTAATTTAAAATCCAGGCATGTTGAATATTTAGGCTTAGTGTTGTTTAATCCATCCTGTATATGCTGGGGTGGACAAAATCCACTTGAGGACTAATGGCTCTCAACAATGACTCCCGGTGTTGAGATGAAAGTATAGGTAATATATACTAAGAACAGTAACTCTACCTCCCAAAGTAGCTTGTCCTAGCATCCCACACAGGACAATAAGGGGACAAAACCCACCTATCTTCATAATGTCATCTGCATCATGCAGAACAAGGAGGAAGGGAAGCAGCATCATGCAGATGGATAAAAGATAGATTGGCAGGAACTATGCACAGCCGTGGCATTCATGAAAAACTGTCACCCTGTAAAATGCATATAGTGTGCCAGATGTAGTGCTGGTTCAGGACAGGGATAGCTCTGTGTATCTATATCTGTCTGTTCCCAGAACACTGGGGAAACTGGAAGGCAGACTCTGCTTCCTGGTCTTCTGCTGAAAGGCCATGATCCAGTAACAAGGTTTGTGCCAAGGCTGCTGTTAGGGTGACAATATTTGGATCTTAGAGAGCACTGGATTTGCAGCTGAATACAAGGTGTGACCTGTGGCCTAGCAGAGCTGCTGACCACAAGGCAGAATGATAGTTAAGCCAGCCATTTGCTTATGCTAAGTAACCATTTTAACTGTATCGACCATTTTCTGAGGGAGAAGCAGCAAGTGAATCTGTGAGAGTCTGTGTGCTGTGAACCAGCTACAGTAAGGAACGAGATAAGATAGAAGGGCCCCCAAAAAGGTGGAAGATGGTACAACCTAAGACAGAAAAACAGACTGGAATATGGAAAATAACATGCAATTGGTAACAGAATCCAAGATGAACACATGCAAAAAGGTGAATGGTGATAGGTGAAGAAGCCTCCAGAAGCTTCCAGGTTTTGGTCAAAGTCTGCCCATTGACTGAAGGGCAGGAGTCAAGGTCTTAGACATGTGCTTATACCAAGAAGCCACGTAAATTAAGGAAATGCATAGGCAATGCCATGCTAATGAAGCAAACAGTAAACAGAGGTGGAGCTTGAGATGGGAGGAGACATGGGTGGAACCGGAGGTGGAGCAATGCAGGATAAATGTTAATGAGTTTAAACCAAAGTGTATAAATATGGAATAAAACTATTGTTTGCTGCTGCTCCTCGTCTCTTATGGTGAGAGAGCTTGCCCAAAGCTGTCTCCATTCTGAATAAAGCTGTTCTGAGCAATGTGTGCTGATGTTTGCTCCCTGCTCTGCTCTGGCTAATGAGTAACAGGATCCCTGGGTAATTGGACCTTTGTCTCCCTAGTCATGGGGCACTGCACGGAGTCGGGGTCTAACAACTGCAATTTATCTCAAAGGGAATATCTCCTCATCCCATTAATACATTGCCTAATAGTAAGAAAGCTAAGCAAAATGCTAAAAGACACCCTAGTCTAATTATGATGTAATTAACAGCAGTCTTTTAAAAATGAGATGGGGAATGGTTTGAAAAGCCACTTTTTCACTCCTCTAACCTCACTGATTCCTGAAATGATATGTACTTACATTAACTTAATTTGTTAATATTTTGTGGTTCC